AAAAGAAAAATAACATAAATTTTACATGTTTTCTCAATGACAGAAAAAATAGTTCTCAGGGGGGCCGGCAAGTGGCGTAGTGGTTAAGGTCACTGGACTCCCACATGACCAATGGCAGTTCGAGTCTTGAACCTGGAGACTTGCCTTCTCACTTTCTGTTTCTCTCTCTCTCTCTTCCTCTTTGGTCAAATTAAAATAAATAAAGTTAAACAAAATAATTCCAAAAAAGAAAAAAAATTCTTCTCAACTCATGTGCAAATAGTATGAGTGTCTAATGAAAATGTGATAGGACCTTATGAGGAAGTGTTGGCTCGTCAGAAAAGTCACAATGTATTTTTCTATTATGTTTTTCTATGCAAAGGTGTGTCATAACTTTCTTGACGACCCAGTAATATTATGGGCTGATTTTTTTTAATGAACATACAGGTGAAATTCTAAACTTCTCAATATAAGATAAAATTATGGATCAGAAAGAAGAAAACAAAACTTTATTATTCATAATGAACATCTTTGTGTAGAGAATTTAAGATAATTTTTAAAACAATAGCATATATAATTTAGCAAAGTTATGACCTACAAGGTTGTATGAAAATATACTTATAACAGAAATGAAATAAAAATTTTCAATTTACAGTACCATTAATCAACACTTAGGGCTACATTTAGCAAAACCTATGGAAGAACATAATACTGTGGAATGTGTAAAATGATATTTAGCAGAATTAAGGAAAATCTCAGAATATAGAAGGATATATCATAGTCATTGCCTGTTTTGTCTAAAACTCAGCAGATAATTTTGTGTAAGTTGTGAGTTGTGTAAAACTTATATGGTATCGAGATACTCTTTTTTTTTTTTTTGAAGAGGTTTTTGCTATAGGGCATGTACGCTCGCCAGACAGACAGAGAGAGACAGAGAGACAGAAAGCGAGAAATCACCCCCAAGGGGAGATGGCCATGCCACAATCCCTTCTCCTCCATTCTCCTCTTGGGATCTTGGGCACACACGCACACACACCTAGCATGAGTTTAAGCCACCGGGTCCGGGACTCGAACCGCAGTCAACTACATGGGAGTCCAAGGACATAGCCATTATGCCAACTGCTGGTCCTGGCATTGACATACTGTTAAACATTTTTTTTAAGATGGCTGAAATATGAAATACAATAAAAGCCAAGTACATTGTTAATTCATTTTTTACTATTTCCCTTTTGTGGAGCAGTAATAATATGCCAGTTCTACTTATATTGTGTAGAGCTTAAAGTATATGAAGAACAGCATCTGATGAAATAAGGGAGGGAAAGTCTACATATGACGTTTGTGTTAACTTTTCTTCTTTATGTGTTTTATAAATTCACCAAAATATTGGGGTACCATCACATGAATTATCATATTTATATGTTACATGACATTTTTTGGTTTTCATATAAAAATATAAGTGGGATTTTGATAGGGCAGTATAAAGCCCAGATTTTAATAAATATGTAATTTTACGATGTGTAAATTTGGGTTAAATTTTTTTTTAAATGCAGCACTGTTTGCATGATAGTTACTTCTTTTTTTTAGAGAGAGTTTTCTTTTTTCTTTTTTTTTTTTGCTATAGGGTGCATGTGTTCGCCTGAAAGACAGAGAGAGGCAGAGAGATAGAAAGTGAGAAACCACACCCCCCCAGGAGGAATGTGAGAAATCATATCCCAGGGGTGATGGGCATGGCACAATCCTTTCTCCTCCATTCTCCTCTCGGGATCTTAGGCACACACACATGCGCCTGGTGTGAGTTTAAGCTACCGGGTCTGGGACTTGAACCGTGGTTGACTACATGGGAGTTCAGTGACATAGCCATTATGCTAACTGTAGGTCCCTATGATAGTTACTTTTTTTTTGAGAAGTTTTTGCTGTAGGGCACATGCGCTCTCCAGACAGACAGAGAGAGACAGAGAGACAGAAAGCGAGAAGTCACCCCCCAGGGGGGATGGCCACGCTGCAATCCCTTCTCCTCCATTCTCCTCTCGGGATCTTGGGCACGCATGCACACGTGCCCAGCGTGAGTTTTAAGCCACCGGGTC